ACACGGGTGGAAGGTCGCTCTTAAAAGTTCTGCCCCTTCGTCCACTGTAATCTATCTTAGAGATCATCAGACCACAAAGAGCTTTTTCTTCTTTAAATATATTTTATTGATTTTTTACAGAGAGGAAGGGAGAGGGATAGAGAGAAACCTCCTGCACATCCCCCACTGGGGATGTGCCCACAATCAAGGTACATGCCCCTGACTGGAATTGAACCTGGGACCCTTCAGTCCGCAGGCCGACACTCTATCCATTGAGCCAATATCTATCTATCTATCTATCTATCTATCTATCTATCTATCTATCTATTTATTTAACAGTGCTGTAGTGCTGTGGTATTGGATTGGTATCCTTTGGATGTTTGGGATGTTCTATAATTTTTTGGATCTAGTCAGGGACATTCCCCCCCCCCCCCCCAAGTTTTGTTGCCTCATAATGGCGCATTCAGTGACATACTATGGCATATCTGATCGAGGGTTTTTAAAGAAGTGATTAAGCAATCATAAAATAATTTTTGTTTTTCATCAGTTAAGCCAGTTATTGGTAGATTGTTAAGTACACCAAATCATTGTTATAGCACATGTAGTGTTTAAAAAACAACCACCACCAAGCAGTTTTTCCCTCCTAGACTTGTGTTTATGAGGTTTAGTCTGACAGTAGCCTAATAAACTAATTCTGTAAATGACTCTCTTCAGGTCAAGTCTTTGCTCTCTTAGCTTCATAAAATCTCTCAGCCTCTCTTTCAGAACCTCCTTTGCTTAACTTATTCTCAAGAATGACTAGATTTCTTCTCCACTACCAGGTATGAGAATGTTCTATTTCATGTTTTACCTTGAGGAAAAATTGTCTTGAATCCTTATGTCCACTTTTAAGTAATAGAACCAACTCATGTTAACCATTTACTGTTCTGATATTCATAAACTACAAATGCAGTAATAACTAAAGCACAAACTATATTGTTCTCTTACTCTCTGCATATCACTTCTCGCTCACTCCTTAGTCCCAGGTTTTATTTATCCAATTCTCCCACTTCCTAAGTATTCTCTTCTGGGTATACATTTTGTGCTCACATTCCCTTGGGTTTTCTCTTTCTGAAGAAAGAAGAGCTGGCTTGGTCATCTCCAAGTCAAAATACACTACCTAAGATACAGAATCCAGATGTGACACTTGGTGGTAGATCGACCTGGGAAATACGGTTGGTGCTGTGGAAATCAGATTAGCTGCTGGCGTGTTGCACCTGTAGCTTGCTGCAGGAAGTGGTTAATAGGCAGCAGTTTACACCAGAGGGAGCCATAGTTGCTCTCTGGTGAGTTGTCTAGGGCGGCTCTAGAGAAGTGGCTCCTGACTCTCTGGGGCAGGGATGGCAAGAATTTAGGGCAGGTTCATACTGTCTGCACGAGCTTCTCTAGGCATTGGTGGTAGAAATGAATGAACAAGTACAGAGGTGCCCAGAGGTCATGGGTCATGTGTCACTTGGAAGGAGTAGATGGTTTTCTGTGGCTGACACTTTTGACTTATGTAACCAGGCCATTGGGCCATGCTCTCTGTTGAGAACTGGTTAGAGAGGAATTTCCAATCCAGCCTTGAGAACTTTTTCAAGCAATTAAAACTTTTCTGGCTCTTCATATGCAAGACTTGTGCTTTTGGAATGATTCTTTTTTTGTGTCATGGGGGTCACATGACTCAGCAACCACATCAGTTGTCTCCCCGCCCCCCCCACCCACCCCGTTTATATGTTGTATTTATTTTGGTAAGCTTCCTAAATTTTATTTTTTTAACAAGGTAAGGCATGAATAAAAATAAATACCCAAATACTTACATGTACACACACACGTATACGTATGTATATATATGTGTATATATGTATACACACATATATACACACACACACACATATACACACACACACATAAATAAGTCATCATGTGAAGATGTAGTACATCTTTATTTCATTGTACCTTGAACTTGGAGTTCTTATTTGAAAAAGCTTTTCATGCTTCATGGTACCTTGCTCAAAAAATTTTTATGGAAAAACAGTTTTAGTAGCAGTTACAATTTAAATGAGAAAGATATTCATGAATATCTCTAAAGTTTTTCCATTTAAATATAAAGTTAAGTTTTGCTGGTTTAGTTTCTTCAATAATATATAAAATATCATACTTTTTACTATGAATGTGGGGAAAATCTGACATGATTGATATGTAATTATGACTCTTCTAAACCACTGTCTAAAAGTTTTCAGTTAGTGGGTTGTAGCAATTCTGGGATGGTGAGACAACATCAGTTATAATCTCTCAGACATTAGGACTCAGTTCTCTGTCCCCTCACTCCATTCTCCCACTGCAGCTAGTATGAGTGATCTCTTAATTTTTTTATTATGAAAAAATTTAGACATGCAGGATGGTAGAATAGTACAATGAGCTGCATATACTCATAGCTCAGATGCAACAGTTGTCAGGATTCTGCTACATTTGTTTCATCTTTCTCTTTTTATTTTTGATTTATTGAAATATTTTAAAGGAATTTATAGGCATAATACCATTTTACCCTAGCATGCTTCAGTCTACCAAAAAAAAAAAAAAAGAGAGAGACATTTTTAACAACCAAAATGCCATTATCACACCATCTTAAATTAACTCTGATTCCTTCCAGGTTGTCAAACTGCTGTGCCTGTGGTCTGTTTTTATATGGCCTGCAAGCTAAGGATGATTTTTACATTTTTAAAGGGATATTAAGCCCTAGCTGGTTTGGCTCAGTGAATAGAGCATCGGCCTGCAGACTGAAGAGTGGCGGGTTTGATTCTGGTCAAGGGCACATGCCCGGGTTGTGGGCTTGATCCCCAGTAGGGGGCGTGCAGGAGGCAGCCGATCAACAATTCTCATTGATGTTTCTTTCTCTCTCTCCCCCTCTCCCTTCCTCTTTAAAATCAATAAAAAAATATATATTTTTTTAAAAAAGGATATTAATAAGCAAATAAAAAAATAAATGACAGCCCTGGCCAGTGTGGCTCAGTGATTAGAAAGTTGGCCCACACACCAAAGTGTCATGGGTTTGATTCCTGGTCAAGGGCATGTACCTGGGTTGCAGGTTCGTCCCCAGCCCCAGACGAGGCGCAAGCAGGAGGCAACCAATTGATATATCTATCTGATCCATGTTTCTCTCACTCTTCCTCCCTCCCACCCTCCTCCCCACTCTTTCTGAAAAGCAATGGAAAAAATATTCTCAGGTATGAGGATTAAATGAATAAATAAATATATAAATACACAGCAGAATCAAATGTGGCCCACAAAATCTACAATATTTTCTATCAGGTCCTTTATGGAAAAGTTTACGAACTCCTGATTTAATGGAGTAAGTAATTGCCCAACATGCATATCTGAGTTTGCTACTTCTTTGCCTTAAACTCCTCAGGATTGAGTCTGGACTCCTTAGTATGATGGGCAGACCGTGGGGCAGCCCTTGTTTTTGCCCACCTACCTATTGGTGCCTGTGCCCTCTGTTCCGGATGCCTGAGGGTGGTAAACACCACTCCCTTTATTCTAACTTTTCCCTTTGCTGGAACTATTCTTTTCCGGAAGCTCTTCCTAGTCCTTTAAGCAGTTCCATCCCTTCTGCCTCCTCCCTCATCTGCTCTGTGTATGCCTCTGCCATTTTTATCATGTGTTAGTTATTTCTCTGCTAAACTCACCTAGTCTGCAAGCTCCTTGATGACAGGGCCTTGTCTTATCCATCTTTGAGTCCCCAGGACCAGCCCAGTGCCTAGGGAAAAGCAGGATATAGATCATAATCCAAGTTCCTTGGGCAACACTCAGTCTCAAGAGATAACACATTAGGTTACATCTTTAGTATTGTGTACAAGAATAATAGTTTATTAAATTCTCTTCATTGCCTTTGCAATTTTAACAGCTTAGTCCTTAGCTATAATAAAATACCATGTATTTGCCCTAGCAGGTTTGGCTCAGTGGATAGAGCATTGGCCGCAGCAGACTGAAGGTCCCGGGTTTGATTCTGGTCAAGGGCACATGCCCAGGTTGTGGGCTCAATCCCCAATAGGGGGCATGTAGGAGGCAGCCGATCAATGATTCTCTCTCATCATTGATGTTTCTATCTCTCCCTCTCCTTTCCTCTCTGAAACCAATAAAAATATATTTAAAAAAGTACTGTGGATTTGGTGCCTTATAAACAACAGACATTTATTTCTCACAGTTCTGGAGGTTGGGAGGCCCAAGATCAGGGCACCAAGGGATCTCTGTAGGTTCTCTTGTAAGAACACTAATCCCACTCATGAGGGCTCCATCCTCATGTCCTAAGAATCTCCCACAGGGTTCCTTCTTAATGCCTTCATCTTTGGGGATTAGGGTTTTAACATAGGAATATTTTTTGAGGGGGGGGGGCACAGAAATTCAAGCCATAGTGTCAGCATTTACTTTAGTGCTAGTTTTATATGTCTTGGTGCTTTTCTGCCTGTGTTTTGTACCTTTTCTTAGTCTCAGTATTGATAAATATGAATCTCATTGCAAACCATCTCTTTCCAGTGAAGATGTACTTTTATATTGATGTGTTTTGATTTCAGTCATTAAGAGGATTGGGTGAACGATGTTGGGTAATGGAACACTGTGTCCCCACCCAAACAGAGGAGGTTAAATAGAGCTGGGACAAAGAGAATGCTGGATTATTTCTGAGGGGTAAGCAGTGAGGTATTTGTGATCATGTACACCAGCTAGTCAGCAGTAAATTAAATAGAGAATCACAGAGGACATGGAGGGGATTAAGAATTAATCTGTAGCCCTAACCGATTTGGCTCAGTGGATAGAGCGTCGGCCTGCGGACTGAGGGGTCCCAGGTTCGATTCCAGTCAAGGGCATGTACCTGGGTTGCGGGCACATACCCAGTGGGAAGTGTGCAGGAGGCAGCTGATCAATGTTTCTCATCGATGTTTCTAACTCTCTATCCCTCTCCCTTCCTCTCTGTAAAAAAATCAATAAAATATAAATAAATAAATAAAGAAAGAAATAAATAAAAATGGTGCCTTGTAAGTTAAAAAAAAAAAAAGAATTAATCTGTAAGAGAGTCAAGGGAAAGGGTCCATCAGGGCTGAGGGCCAGGGAGTGCAGTAGCAGAGGGATTCGTTCACATGGCCCATTTAGTGTCAGGCAAGTCACTCCAAGTGACGGCACGCAGAAGGCTTCAAGTGCCACACTAAGTAGCTTGAGAAGCTTTGGCATTGGGGAATGACCAGGTGTGCACTTTTAAAAACTCTTGACAGCTGTTGGAGGAAGAATTGGATGGGGGTAAGAATGAAGGTAGGGAGACTACAGCAGAAGTTCAGAAGGAAATTTAGGAGGGCCTAAACTAAGGCCTCAGCAGTGGGAATGAAGTTGGGCATAGGGACTTGAGAACTGTATAGGGATGAGAGAAAGAGAAGAGCCCTTTTGGTTTAGGTAACTCTGGGGAGGACAGGAATGGATATGAGGGTCTGTAATTGAAGAGGGGTTCTGGGCCAGAGATAAGGCTCTGTAAGATAGCTTATAGAAGTGATAGGAGCCATGTTTATGCATGGAGCTGCCCAGGAAAGAGTGTGAAGCCAGGAGAGGAACGGTTGGAGATGGAATGGGGCCAGGAACAGCAGGCTGGGGAGTTGGCGCCTGATTTGAAAGAAGCTAATGCAGGGTGGTCTGAGTAGAAGAAATCAGATTGATTAGATAAGGCAGTGGTCAGCAAACTGCGGCTCGCGAGCCACATGTGGCTCTTTGCCCCCTTGAGTGTGGCTCTTCCACAAAATACCACGTGCGGACGCGCACG